TTCGAGAATCCCATTTCGTAATTCTGTCAGATGCTCAGTTTCTCAAGCCACGGACACCACCCCAGGTTACAAATACTTTGTAAATGACTGCGTGAACATATAGTTATTTTGTTTTTATTTAATATGATTTTATGTTGTTTCTAGCTTCAGGAAATTATGGGTCTTTTCTTGATGTACAAGGTTTTTGTGTTAATTATGCTACATAATTTGTACTTCTTGTGACTTCATTTGATTGGAAAATTCATTTACACCTATTTTCTGCCTTTTCTCTGTGTCTTGGTGGGGTGTGTGTGTGTGTATGAATTTGTAATCATGCTGTTAATATCATAGTTTAGGCGAGTTATGCTATGACCAATTCAATTTTACAGCAGCCACAGTAAAAAAAAAAATAAAAAAAATCACGTTTTTATACAAACCCAAGTTCCTTTTTACTAATGAATTAGAGTATGCTTGCTAAGCTTTAAAAGTTTACTTGTAAGTAAATAATAAGTTTTAATGTTAAAGTCTGAAATTAGAACATGTGTGGTCTTTCCAAAAAATAAGTCAAATTCACTTTTTAAGCTACTTATTTTCCAAAAATATGATTCACTTTTAAAAATTAACAATATTTACTCAAAAGTAAGAAAATAGTAACTTAATTAAATAAAATTTACCCTTTTTAAGCTTAGCCAAACCTGCTTTTAATTTGTTGTTCTAGATATAACCTGTTACATCTTCCATGGTGTATGATGATGCCAGATGAGCTTTTTTTAGTTTGAGAGGTAGGTGACATGTGCATTTTGATTTTCTGTGATGTTGATGGCAATGCGGGATCTTTAAGTCTATCATTTGTAAATCTTATAATTGGTATTTTCCATTTTTCTTTTCTTTGCGAAGTGTGAACATATATTCTCTCTTAAACTTGTGTCCTAGATCATAGTATAAAAGAATTCAAGTCACTTTGTTTCATATATGTACTTGGGATTCTGATTTTCTGTTGTTTAACTCTGCCTCAGAGAAAAAGGGCCAATTAATGAGGAGAAATGACATACGTAATATAGCAATTGTCGCTCATGTAGATCACGGGAAGACTACACTGGTGGATTCAATGTTGAAACAAGCAAAAGTAGGTATTTTGGAAATCCTAGCTATTTTGATTTCCTTTTCTAAATAAGTTTCTAACAGGAAAACAAAGGTGGCACGTGCTTTAAGATGAGACTATTTTTGAGAATCATTCAATTGTAGTCATTTCGTGGATTTCTGTCGATGATATAGTAAGTTTGGACAAAAAGGAATTAATTAGATAAGTAGTAATCAATGGTTTCTTGACAAATTGTTTGCTTTGCGTGATCAGTTATTTCCTGACACTTTTTTTGGTTTGTTCAATCACCTCATCCGAGTTTAGGAAGTAAATTGTCCTTCCTCTAAATATTTTTGTTCAGATGTTGTGTAATGCAAATAGTGCAATAGTATGCTGGCGTACTGATGATCTAAAGAAAATTATTAGAAAAGGAGGAGTCGGGGACAGATTATAAATACTTCTTCAATCAAAATGCTTTATGAGAGTTACTCTCTGCCGTCCATCACTATAATACTCCCACTTTCTGGACTTTACTTTTGTACCCATTATAACGGTCACTTATCTGTGCAATATTGTTTTGGCAAAATAGGTTGGTAGGAAAGAGTGGGGTCTTCAATGAATCTTAAAATGTCCTTATTTCCTTATCCAGTTTGCGTTACTCCTGCTTTCCTGGCTAACTACTAAGCTTTCCAGGTTCGCTACTCAAGTTGAACTCGTGTTTTCCTACAAAGTCTTTCTTAATTGGCCCTTACTTTTGTTCTGTAAAGAAAAGTTTTATTCTGTGTAAATTGACAATGTCTTTTCCTCTAAAAATCATTGTGGCCTCTAATAATGTATGAAACGTTATTTTGCCAAGTGTTCATTATTCGTCTGGTTGAAGTGACGAAGCTAATTTCTATGATAATTTTCTGTGCAGGTGTTCCGTGATAACCAATTTGTACAAGAGAGGATAATGGATTCAAATGATCTGGAGCGTGAAAGGGGAATAACAATACTTAGCAAAAATACATCAATTACTTATAATGATACAAAAATTAACATCATTGATACTCCAGGCCATTCTGACTTTGGAGGTGAAGTGGAACGAATTCTCAATATGGTGGAAGGAGTTCTTTTAGTGGTACTTTCTCTCCTAGCTCTCTTAAGCTGAAGTTACATTTCCAGTTTTTGCATGATCTCAAACATTTGATCACTGTCTTTTGATTCAGCTTTTCGTTCAATATGAATGCTGAGCATTTCAGAAAAAAACGAAAGGATAATTTTATGTAAAGATTTCTAGTGTACTTAGTTACCAACTCTTTCATGGCTCGGTTACCTCAATGAAGTAGGTTTGGACCAAAAGCCAACCACTTTATGTCTCTCGGGTCACGAAAAATGCTTCCACGAGATGATCTCCCTTTGAATTTATATTGTGTGCCCGAACTAGCTCTTTCACTTCTCTCTCTTTATGGCTGCAAAAGAACCAATCTGAACTGAAGTATTAGACAAACTGAAATGGGTGCCTTCTTATTAGACAAACTCAAATGGGTGCATTCTCTTTTGTTAATAGTTCGCAAATAATCGAGCTTGTTAACGAACAACTTCTAATTGTTAATGAAATAAAATATTTTTGAGAATAATAATGTCTCGTACAATTCCATTCACATGTTGCCACATAAATAGTTAATTTGAAGAGAAAAAAGAGTTGTGCAGCGGACCCTAAATTTATTAGATAATGCTTAATTTGCTGTTGACGTTACAAGAAAATAGTTAGAAGAAAAATATGATAATTTTGGGGAAAAAAGTTTGTGAAATTTTGGAAACTATTTTATTTTCATATTTTTATCTCTAAAACATGTTTAAAATTTGGGACGATTGTTATGTTCATGAATACATAATGGAAGAACGCCAAAAACATTCCTGCTTAGTTGTTTACTAAGGAGCCAACAGAAAACAAACATGAATGAACCTTAAACATGGCAAGCGATTATCTGTTCATTAAAGGCTAAGTTCATTGCACCCCTGTTTCTCATCTTCACCATTATTGGAGTCCGGCATAATTTCTTAAACTTTGTGGTGTGGGAGTTGGGATGTAATGATTTTCCGTGTTGAACTGTTTAGGTTGTCTACATGTGTAGATCCTAAGCATTATATTATCAATTTTTTCAACTGATTCAAATTGAATTTTTTGCTGGGTTCTTTCCCTTTTTGTTGGGCTTCATTTCTTATTTCTCAAATTTTTAGCCATCAGTGTCTTGGTAGTGTCTTTCTCGATTCTTCTATTGTTTTTGTTTCTTTATTCTTGTTATATTTTCCTGCTGTAATCTGAGAAGCCTTGTCTCCTTTAACAGGATCTCATTGCTGACAATTTAATTCGGCTCTTATATGTAGGTAGATTCTGTCGAGGGTCCAATGCCGCAGACAAGATTTGTTTTGAAGAAGGCTCTTGAATTTGGCCATGCCGTAGTTGTTGTTGTTAATAAAATTGATAGATCATCCGCTCGTCCAGAATTTGTTGTTAATTCCACCTTTGAACTGTTCATTGAACTGAATGCATCAGATGAACAGGTATTTATTCCACGTCTTGACAGAGAACACTCCTAGTTTGAATTTAGAGATTGATTAAACCTATCTGTAGCTCTCAACTTTGATACTGGCCTGATCACATGCTTGTATACATGCGTTCTTATTTATTATACCGTCTCCTTGTGGGATATGTACTGTGTTTCTAATTAAATATTCATTTCCTAAACTTGCATTTGAGCCATGAACTCAAGTAATGGGCTCTAATTTGAGTGCAGTGAACTCTTTTTTTAAATCGTAATTCTCTTAACAGGAAGAGTAAATTGAAAAATTATCACTATGAAATATTTCATTATAGACTATAGTTGTTGAACATTAGTTGATCAGATATTTCTGTATTCCAATACTCGAGAGATTGTAATATAGAGTTTAATCTCCAGTTGGTTTTGTTCTCTTTGCAGTGTGATTTCCAAGTAATATATGCAAGTGGTATCAAGGGAAAGGCCGGACTTTCACCTGAAAATTTGGCAGATGATCTTGGACCTCTTTTTGAGTCCATTATTAGATGCATACCTGGACCCCGTATTGAGAAAGATGGTGCACTTCAAATGCTTGTCAGTGACTGTTCATTTTCTCAGTGTTTTACTCCTTTTTTCTCCAATTCACTCATTACTGTTGGTTTGATCTTCTTTGGATGTGCCGTGTGCTCTTTTATCATGTTTAAACTTATTTTAGGCTACAAATATCGAGTATGATGAACATAAAGGGCGCATAGCTATTGGACGTTTACATGCTGGGGCATTGCGCAAAGGAATGGATGTGAAGGTAGGTTTACTGCACCAGTGAGAAGCTTCTTAAATTAGTAAATCCGTATCTGGTCCTTGAAGGATGGGGTTATTTCGATAAAACTCCTTGTCAGAGACACTTGTTCAGAAGTCATCAATCTATTTTCTCAACAAAGATATGATAAATAGAGTTTGATGTTCTGTATATCTGTTCTATATGTTTAGATATGTACCTCTGAAGATGAATGCAGATTTGCCAGAGTAAGTGAACTTTTTGTGTACGAGAAATTCTTTAGAGTTCCAGCAGAGACAGTGGAAGCAGGTGATATATGTGCTGTTTGCGGTATTGATGATATTCAGGTAGATTAAAATTAGTCCCACGTGGGTGTTGTTCCCAGTGCTTGTATTTACTTGTGATTTAGGGTTTATTTTGCACTTACATGCTTATCTTGTTTAACTTGTGAAATTTCTTTCATCAATCCAGATTGGGGAAACCATTGCAGACAAAACTTCTGGGAAACCATTACCCTCAATTAAGGTGGAAGAACCTACTGTTAGGATGTCTTTCTCAATAAACACTTCACCTTTTGTTGGCCGTGAGGTATGCTTTTTTCATAAGGCGTTTAAATCTCAATTCAAATTCTAATTTTCGCTTGTACAAGATTCTTGCACCTCTAAATTCTAGTTTTAGTCTCATAGACTAGATATTAACTTTTAATTATGTAAGAGCGACAAATTTCATTTAAAACTGCTACATTGTGGTTCACAGGCTGCTACCACTCTCGAAAATGGGAACTAGAGAGTTTTATTGCTTAGGTTTCTGGGTTCATCCTTAAAATATACCACTCGATATTTAAACATTTTTTTGGCTGCCTCAAATATCCTTAGAATCCTCACCACAGTTTTCATTTTTTTCGTAAGACTGTCTCCAACCCATTTCACCAAAATGGTGCAGCTTTTAGACCATATTTTTTAGTCGTCTCCAATCCATTACACCAAATATTACCAAAAACATATTCCACTTTCTTTCCTTATTTTTTAATTTTATACAACTAATTTATTTAAAAAATTATTTAATACATATTCTATTTCTACTAAAATTACTAAAAAAAATTACATTTAATTAACTAAAATATTGTATTTACATTAAATTTTTAAAAAAAAACATTACACTTAGCTTGTGTTTGAATCTCATTTTTATGATAATAGAAATTTTGGAATAGTGATTGATATGAGAATGTGTGGTGGAAAAGTGATGAAATTTTTTAGATTTGTGTGTAATATTATTTTATTTGGAGAATGTGTGGTTGAAATGAAGAAAGAGAAAAAATGAGAATGACACTGAGAAAAAAAATGGGTGTCAATTCTCATTTTTTTTCTTTCTTAATTTCAACCACACATTCTCCAAATAAAATAATATTACACACAAATCTAAAACTTTTCATTACTTTTTAACCACACATTCTTTCATCAATCACTATTCCAAAATTCATTTTTTCTCCAAAATGGGTGTCAAACACAAGCTTAATATCACAATTAAAAAAATATTACATTTATTACATATAATATAAAAATTTTCATAAAACAAACATAAAGTCCAACTAATCATTTTATTCTTGGTATTATAGTCATCCCACAAATGAACAATTAATGCATTTCGAAGTGCTATGTGAGCCTCTTTTCAATATTTATGCTGTTGTAGTGCTAATTTTGTTTTATTAATTGTAGCAACTTTTGAATTTTAATGAGTAGTTTTATTATAATGTATTAAGTAATTATTATTTATTACTTGATTACAATTTATTATAAATGTTAACAAAAAAATAATCCAATTAAAACAAATATAAATAAAATTTATCATTAAGTAATAAAAGGATACAATAGGAGTTAAAATTTGTTGTAGTGTAAAATGAATGACAAAATGGGAAATAACTAAAACTGCATACATTACACCCAATGAACAATTTGATGCAACACTGTTTATTACTCTATTTTGGTGTGAAAAATTTGAAGTCCGGTTGGAGCATCATTTTCACACCAAATTGGCAGTTTATGCCATTTTGAAGTTGGGTTGGAGATGCTTTAAGAAATTCAGGCCCATTTTCTTAAAGTTTCAAGAAAAAACTCAACTCTCTTAAAGAAAAGTTTGTTGATTGAATACTCGAAACACATTGCTTGTGTTCTTGACGACAAACTGTTTTTTTCTAGAAAAATTGTACATATTTACCGTATAATACAAAGAATAAATGATAAACTATAGACGCCAAATTATTGTCTTTTGTTGGTGTAGGACTGTGACCGTAGGAAAATAATTGGTTGCATATATATATTGGGACCAATTGCCTAAAACTTTCTGATGTATGCACGCATACCACCAAAGTACTTTTATTGAAATTAATTTTCATCTTTTATCAATTTTTTCTGGGTCCAACAGTAGGAGTTGTTATAGAATCGTTACATGTCAAGAATCATCTGTTTGCTGCCAACAAATCATATTTTGGGTTGTAATCCACCTCTAAGAGAGGAAGAATTTCTTTTATTGTTTTCAGGGGAAGTATGTTACTGGTAGAAATTTACGAGATAGGTTGTACCGTGAGCTTGAGCGGAATTTGGCCATGAAAGTCGAAGATGGTGAAACTTCAGATACATTCATTGTTAGCGGGCGTGGTACTCTACATATCACAATATTAATAGAGAACATGTAAGAGGCCTATATTTTGACCCTTGTTTACCGTCTTTACACATGCTTATATTAATAAATGTTTCCAGGCGGAGGGAAGGATATGAGTTCATGGTGGGACCACCCAAAGTTATCAATAAAAAGGTTGGCGACAAGTTGCTGGAACCATATGAGGTGATGGGCTAAGTTTTTTGTTTTTATCTCTTTCAGATGTTTGTTAATGTATATTTTATCTTATCTTTTACATGTCTTACATAAATTTGCCACTTGATAATAGCGCCCTTCAAGACCTAAGAGTTATGTTTAGATATGGACATGTTACTGTGCACACTAGTGCTGTGTAATACAATATAGCATTAATGGAGGGAGAAAAGGAAAGATATGAAATAGAGAGCAGAAGGATGTATATAATTGAAAATATTTAAAATTTCAATTATTTTACGATTTCGTTTTTACTTTATTCGATATTTTGAAAGACGCTGTGACAGTCAATTTGGCAATAGACCAGGCTAGAGCATTTTGACAATCTATCGTGGGCTTTCTTCGTCATTAATTACCTCTATTTAACCTACCATCTGCACACGTGATCACACTTGCTGCAGAAAATACTCGAGTCTGTGTATGAAGTCATGTTTTGATAACTGGCATATGCATTAGTAATTTTTTGAATAAACAGATATAAGCAGTTAAAGTGTGTGATACACTATCATCAATACAAGCTATAAAAGAAGGAGATGAAATTTAAATGCACTGAATGATTCACGGATTTTCATGGCCATGTTATTTCTTCTAAAAGGTAAAACTTATTATGGTTGTTTCTGCAGATTGCTACTGTTGAGGTACCCGAAGAATACATGGGGCCTGTTGTAGAACTTCTCGGGAGAAGGCGAGGACAAATGTTTGACATGCAAGGTCTTGGGTATGTAAATTATTTGCAAAAATCTTGTTGACAATAACTTCCAACAGAAAAATCTTGCTTTACTGGAATGATAGCTAACAAAAAGAACAATCTTGGCTAGATTGTACCTATATTGCTTTATTTTTTGGTCTACATTTATGTAGTTATGCTGGCCTCCCTTGTGATTTTTACTAGTTTATTCCTCAAACTTCCCTTTGGATGCTCTTTAATTTTGATACTAACAGAAAGTGAATGTGTGTGTATATACTGTGTATACGTATGTATGTACTTAGAATGGTCTTGTTTTTCTGCTCATCCTTTTTCTTGCATTACCAGAATTTGAGGTGATAAATTTTCTTTTTCATTGTTTTGCCTTTGCCATCTTGAATGGTAGCCTAAAAACTTACCCCTGTTTATCTATTAGGTCGGAAGGAACAACTCTGGTGAAATATAAGATTCCGACCCGGGGCCTCCTTGGTTTGAGAAATTCCATTCTTACGGCATCTCGAGGCACAGCAGTTCTTAACACGATATTTGACGAATATGGACCATGGGCTGGTGATATAAGCACCCGTGACCTGGGTTCGCTGGTACTATCTAACCCAAAACAAACGAGTTTCATTGAGATTCTGATGACATTTTCAGATGGTCTAATGTGTATAAATTTTTAAAGGTTGCTTTTGAGGATGGAACGACATCATCTTACGCGCTCTCAAGTTCACAAGAAAGAGGACAGCTGTTCATTGGCCCTGGAGTCCATGTTTATAAAGGACAAATAGTAGGAATTCATCAGCGCCCCGGTGACTTGTCCCTCAACGTCTGCAAGAAAAAAGCTGCTACAAATATCCGTTCCAATAAAGATCAAACAGGTGAGAAATAGCCTAATTACATTGTTGAAGATTTTTTGGTTTTGCTTACATTATTCACCAGAGTACTATGAATGATGAACGAACCCGGTAAAAGGGCGGGGAAATGATGTTTCTTATGAATAGTAACGTTTCGTTGATGCTCGAGAAGAAATAATTGGCTATGCTTGCTTTACGTCCTATCAACATCGATATTGCAGAGAAACTAAGCCCTTGTTTCACAACCGCTCTTTCTCATGCTTTTTTTCTCATACTTATTTTCAACCACACTATCTCACAATAAAATATTTTTCACATTAATTTTTCCTTGCATTTTAACCATACATTCTCCCAAAATTTACTATTCAAAAACACATTCTTTCCAAAAAAGATTCTGTGAAACAAGGGCTAAAATTCTTATAGCGGCCGAATACTCGTGCTTTTGGACTCTGTTTTAATAAGAATTTTTTCTCTTGATTGTTGATTAATTTCTTATTGGCACGTGTAGTGGTTCTTGATACCCCACTGGATTACAGTCTGGACGACTGCATAGAATACATTCAAGAAGATGAGCTGGTTGAAATTACTCCCCAAAGTATTCGAATGTCTAAAAACCCGAAGATGGCAAAGAAGGCACGGTGAAAGTTACTTCCAGACGAGCCTCGAGGATTCTCTGGCTTCTCGTTGTTGAAAAACTCGCATTTGAATAGCAATGGCGGGTAATGCAACTATAAACACGGCACATCTTGCTCCATTAATACTAAAATGTTTTGGCATCCTCCATTCTGAAGGCCTGCAACTTATGATTTTCTAAGAGAAATTCGAAGATTTTCATACTTCAGGCGATAATGAGTTTGTTAATACTAATTTACAGGATATTATAGTTACATAGTAACAACAAACATGTATGACTCGAGGGGGGATCTCTCTCCTATGCAATTTATTACTTAGGTAAATAAAAATGTTCCTAGAAATTCATGTTCCTGTTTATTACAACCTTAAAGGGCTACAATTATATAACAAATCAATATCCAATTCATTTTGACAAATATATCCTTTATAATATTTTTATTTGGGTCAGGCTATATGTATACAATTCAGTACATAAATTTTAACAGCATCTTTATCAATCAATCTCTAAAGGGTTATGCTACATATACCGAATCTTTTACACCCCTCACATTAGGAGGTGGGGACTACAAACCGAAATTTTTAAATACACATGAGGCTCGCGTGGATTGTGAGAGGGGGGACACCATTTTATACCTCCATTCTGGCAAAGAGGAATAATCCATGTCTAAATGGTTGACACACAGGAGGTGTCAACAAAGGTGTATACATTTGGGCGTACAATAGCTTTATTCTTTTTTTGTTAACAGTCAAAAGTCGAACTAGTACTAAAAAAATTAATATAACAAAACTATATCCAATTCGTTTTGACAAATATATCCTTCATAATATATTTTGAACAGTCAGAAGTCGAACTAGTAGTCAAAAAATTAATTAAATAATATAATTTTTTTTTGTTTAAAAAAAAAAAAATACTGAACCAGTAAACTGATTTTGATTAGAATAATATACTATCTTGAAGACTGAATTGGTCTATTTATGGACAAACTTGAAATATAAAATTTGATAGTTTATATCATAGAAAATTACAAAATTAATCACATTTTAAATGATAGAAATTAGTATCGAATCATTAAATTGTCATTAATTCTTCTTTAATTTTTTTAAAAATAAATTTATCCTTTGTGCCTTAAATTAGGAATATTAATTGATTAGTTGGCAAAGTTGGCGCAGTCCTAAGGGGTCGGAGTCGAACCCGCACGTGGCTACTTATTATTAAAATAGAGCTCAACTGAGTCAAAGAGTTGACTATTCAAAAGAGTAAATTGATGGTTATTTCGTAATAAGAAATAAACTGTGGCGGCCCTGTGCAGTAGACTATCTTATGTGGCCGGTTTCCAGAAGGTCGCCAAAGTAGACGATGATAACGAAAATATTTTGTTAGTTAGAAGGAGAAACTAGTAGGAAACTATGGTGGTAGGAAAGTTATATGAAATTTCCCTACCCTTGTGTTCTTAAATCAATAAGCTCCTCCCACATTTTCCAACATTTAGAGATTTTCCTCCAAGTTCTCACCATTTTTTTTTTTTTTTTTCAAATTTCATACTATAACCTCTTCATCTTGTTTGTTCCCTTGAAAAAATTGATAGTTTTCTTGGTATCTCCATCACTAATCCCTTTCATCTGAAAACCTGGATTTCAGTTGAATTTTGTGAGATCTGAGATTACCAAGGTGGGTTCTGAAGCTTTTTAATTATTGAAGATAGCCAGTTTTTTATTTCTTTATTTTTGTATTGTTTCATCAGAAAGATTTGATTTTTATTGTGTTTAACTACTGTTTATACTTTAAGAAGACTCCCAATTGGCTCAAAGATTCAAAGAGGGAAAAAGCCTGAGTTTTTGGTTGATTTTGGTCTGTTTTCTGCTCAAATTTAGACCCTAAGAGGTTGAGTTTTTGAAGGTTTGATCGATGGGAAATTGTTGTGCAACACCAAAAACGTCTGATGAGAAGCCTAACCCCTTTTCAGTTCATGGTGGTAATCTCACTATACCAGATGGTGGATTCAAATTCTATATATTGAACAATCCAACAGGCCATGACATTGAGGAGTTTTATGAGTTGGGGCGCGAGCTTGGGCGAGGTGAATTTGGCGTTACATATTTATGCATTGATAAATCTAGTGGCGAGGAGTTCGCTTGTAAATCGATATCGAAGAATAAACTGAGGACTAGTGTGGATATTGAGGATGTTAGGAGAGAGGTTGAGATTATGAAGCATCTGCCTAAGCATCCTAATATTGTTAGCATAAAGGATACTTATGAGGATGATAATGCAGTTCATATAGTGATGGAGTTGTGTGAGGGGGGTGAATTGTTTGATCGGATTGTATCCCAGGGACATTATACTGAGAGGGCTGCTGCTGCTGTTACTCGCACGATTGTTGAAGTTATTCAGGTTAGGATTCAATATCTAGAGTTTTGATGTTGCTTGTGTTGTTTGAAGTGTCTTATATATTTGAACTTGTAGGCTCTTAGTTGCTGTGATTTTTGCCATTAGTTGCTGCAATAGTAGTAGAATTTCATTCAGGTTGATGCTTGATTTCTGCTATTGAAGTATTGGAATTTAGTCGAGAGCATTAATCGTGTGGATAAGCTTAAATGCTTAAATGTACATTTTCACAGCGAAAATAAGTAAATTATTATTGATCTATAAAAACTACTTATTTGAAAACTTACTTTTTACTTATAACTAAACTTGTGAGAACATTTTGAAGCTTAGCCAACATAGTCGTTTAATGCGATGACAGAGTCCTCGTAGAAATTGTATTGTGTCAAACTTAGAGATTCTGATTTACTTCTATATTTTGTTAATGATTTTAATCGGCCCTGAGCAACCATCTCTTGGTCCGTTATGGAAGTTACAATTGTCTACCTGAATATAATTCTCATGCTAAGTACATGCAATTTTGTTCTATTCTAATATTTGCATTTTTTGAGGCGAATATCAAGTGCTGTCTTTTGCTTTCTATACTCTCTGGTATTTAGGAACATTTATTTACATCACTCTATTTTCATTCTGATCGAGCGATTATAAGCAACCTGACCAGCCACAAATTTTCGGATGAGGTTCCTTTCAAAGAAATCATTTTTAAAGTGTGGTTCAATGTGTGAATTAATTATCTCCTTTCACTCTGTAGATGTGCCACAAGCATGGAGTTATGCATCGTGATCTTAAACCTGAAAATTTCTTGTATGCAAATAAGAAGGAAACAGCGCACTTGAAGGCCATTGATTTTGGGCTTTCAGTATTCTTTAAGCCTGGTAATGCATTCTGATATTTATTGGTCTAATACAGACGGATGAATAGTTAATTGGCCAATATCAATTGTCGCTCCTTTCAGCTAATCCAATTGTACTTTTATAGGCCAGAAGTTTGATGAGATTGTGGGAAGTCCTTATTATATGGCTCCCGAGGTGTTCAAAAGATACTACGGTCCAGAAGTGGATGTTTGGAGTGCTGGTGTAATTCTCTACATCTTATTGTGTGGTGTTCCACCTTTTTGGGCAGGTCTGTTATTTTTTCCTTACTTTAAATATTATTTTAGAACTTATTTTCTTTGAAGTGAACACGCTAATTTTATGGAGAAGGGTAGAGTTTTAAGATCCTATAAGGATAAAAAGGCACACTTGTTGCAGTAGTAGACAAATTTACTATTTTTTTTGTTTTATTATTTGAATATTGCACTGGCGGAGAGTCTAGAGGAGTGGTTGACTCTGAATTTGGGATTTCTGATAGGTTTGGGGGTGGAATTGTTCGCAACCCATTTTAAAACAAAACGAATAGAAAGCATGGAAATGTTTAGCTTAAATCGTTGTATCATTCTATTTCAATGACAATGGTCCGTCGGTTATAGAGAGGACTGCGTGCATCTCTGAGTTCAGTATCTTACAGAACAAAAAGGGAGATTTTGTTCTTCTACTGCCAACAATTTTGAATTCAGGTCGAGTATAAATCTGATAATATTAGAGCACACCTAGAAGTAATTGGTACTAAGATCATCAGAGGAACAATACCTAAACAAGGGACACGAAATTATTGAAGATAAAATTTTGTTCCTAACTTGGTGTTTGGAAGTGCATAGTGCAGTTATTTATTTCTTACTCTTGACATTTAATTTTCCTTCTGATTTGCAGAAACCGAACAAGGAGTTGCCCAAGCAATAATTCGATCAGTTGTAGAATTTAAAAGAGATCCTTGGCCTAAGGTTTCTGCTAATGCAAA